CCGCCGGCGTGCGGGGGGTACCGGGAGGGCAGGCGGCGCCGTGTGGGAAGGGAGAATGCGATAACCGCCATCGGTAGCCGTGACTTTTATTTGGGGGCCTCACAGAGCTGCTCTTTTGTAATTGCTGTTCTGACAACTACCTTCAGATCTGTGTTTTGGACGCATAGAAGAATACGTGTTTGATGTGCGACCTAGAGTGCTTACAAAAGTTCTGGTTTCCTGGAATTCTTTTCCATAAAAGGATAAGGAAATGTGGGAGGATATCTTACAATAACAAGTTTGCCACGTTTTCTTTGAAATCTGGCAGAGAAAGCTGAAAGTGATAGAAATAGAACAGGTGGCTAATTTGAAGACGGTGGTTTTGGTGACTTAATTTTGTCTTTGACTTCTTTTACACCACTTTTTTTGAAAACTGGTTTTGTGCAGAAACTGCTCACTAGCAACATTTATAGATCAAGAGTGCATCTGTGAGTTAGAATTCATGATTTATGTAGACCCTTTAAAGCCTATTGCACATGAGCGTTCTCTGTATCTAAATTATACTTTTTAATTTCTTGTTAATGTAACTTCTTTTCTACACAAAATACATTGTCATTCAGATGCTGTTGAGCATCACTTCATCATTCATTTCTAACCTTTTGTGGGTTTTTGTCCTGGTACTACGTGTTAGCCATTTCGGGGCAATACTGAAGTTTTATGGCAGAACATTTATAGTGAGTATACGTAAGAAATGTTCTTAGAGAAGTCAGGGATGATAATGGTTTTGTATCACTTACTATGATATTTCAGTTTGGTGATCTGCCGTCTTTTAAGTTTGAATGTGATTAAAGACTTTGGTATGTGACTTTTCAGAAATAAAAAAGCCCTTCAAAGTGTTTTCATTTCTTAATTATTTTTCCCCGTGGCTCTGTGACACTTTTACAACAGTTTTTTCTTTAAAATACGTACTAGTGGTTATTTTTTCCTCTTCCTGTTTCATGTATTGAAACTTCAACAGAATAATATGTACTCTGTGGTAACTGTAACTTCAGTCTTAGCCTTTAAAGTGGTTGGACCTAAAGCACACTGTTTATCTACAGATACTTAAAAGTCTTTTCAGGAGGATGTCTGCAAAGAGACTTACCAGTACAGTGTTAGGGGCCTTAGGGATGCCATTGGATTGCATGACATACGAGGTAGAGATACATTTCAGAAGTCTTGCATTTTTCTAGTAATATTGAATAAAATTACCAAAAGCTTTTGAAAGATGTTTAGTTTGCTTTAAGGGCTTTGCTGCAGCAGGGTCTCTGAATTTTTGCCTTCAGTTCCTAATGTGCTTTCAGCTTTGCAAATGCTAGCTATGCATTGTTTTCATACATAATCAGAATTCAGTAAAGAAACATTTGTACTTGCTTCACTAGGTTATGTTGAATGTGGTGTTGCCTAATGATGAAGTTAAAGGAGGAGTATCTTTCATACTTTAATGAGCATCACTCTTTAACAGGGACAAGATCCTTCTTTAGGTAGATTGTGTTGCATTTTGACTTTTGTAAAATGAGTGTAAAATTTTAAATTATGTATTTTTGACACAGATGCTTATGGAAGTTTCCATAAGGGTGCTTTCCTGAGAAAATACAGAAATCCTCCAGTAGTTTTCAGAGCAAAACTAGAGAATACATTTTCAGTGCAATACATACATACGCCAAATTTTTGGGTTATACATATAACCATGAAATTCATGTTGTATTAATCAGATGTAGAAGCCTAAACTCACCTTCAGAAGATAAAGGAAAAAAAACTAGACCAGTGTATTCTGCCTAAATGGCATGTTTAGAATTCTTTTGTGTGGACATAAAATATTGGTTTTCTTATAACTTTGTGCAGGAGTCCTAACTAAATGCTAAAATGATCTGGAAAGAACAAAGTGAAAGTTGAGTGCAGATGGCCTGCTTGTTCAGATGTTTCAGAGTGCTCTAATCTTTTACTGTTCAGTAACTGTTTATTTTCAGAATGGAAGTCTAGTAACAAGCAATACTAATATAAGCTAAAAATAAACAGGATTTTAAATATCAGTGGGGAATAAAATTATATGATGGGCTGTTTTTAAGATGCTGAGAAGGAAAAATGGATGGTTGAGACTTATTTTTAAGGGGGAGGGGGGGCGTGTCCTCATCTATGCTTACTATAGAGGCATGTGCTATAGAGGCAGAATTCCCTTCAAAAAGCCTATACTCAAGAATGATGCATTTAGACTTGCATTCTTTTAATTTGATGTGAATTTCTTGACCTGTCCTTTATATATTCTCACAGCATTGTGAAAGAACTGCAAACTCTAGAACTGAGGTTTTTAAATTGCTCTCTCCTGCCCTGTAACATTCTTACTCAAAGCACTTGGAGGATGTGTTGTTCTGCTTATCAGGCAAAATCTAAAAAAATGTAAAACCAAAGATGTGACTCTGAACTGGTTGAATAGTTTTAAGGAAGAACGTTGCTTTTATAAGGCTCTCTTGAACTCAAAACTTGCTTGAGCTCAGTGTTGCAGCGTGCACTTGGCAGTTTTAGTAACGCCACGATGTCTGCAAAACATCTCATGCTAACTCTGAATGAAATCATTTGGCTGATGTCTGTCTGTCTACTGGAATGTCCTCCACTCTGTGCAAACGTAGCATTTTAGAGAAGACATTTAAGCAACTTTCAAACCTTGCCCTTCACAGTGGCATTTTGTGTTGCATTGCTAGTTTGGAGGATTACTTTGGGTACACCTCTGAGTGCAGTTAGTTCTTGGGCTGCCGTGCAGCCTCACTGTGTAGAGCTTTGGGAAAGGAGGTGGAGTTCCCTGGTTGAGTTGAGGGTAAGCCATGTACCTACTCAAAAACTGTTACGTTATGGTGGAGCTCACATGCTGCCTGGCTGGGAGTCAGCTGCTTTGACTCTGTCACCAGCAGGTTTGGGACCTCTCAGGCGTGTGCTGTCGGATAGTTAATGTCCCTTGGCCAGATGCTTGGGGCAGGCTCGGTTTGGTTCATGACCATGTTGTCTCCAGCATTGCTTTCTCTTTCCCAGTCATGCACTGAAACGGCAGGCAGAGTCAATAAGACATTAAGGCATCAGGCAGTCTGTATAATCAGATTGAAATGATTGAAAGCATGTTAGATTTTATTAACTCATCCTTTCAAAGCAATATAGGTGCTCTTTTGGAGCACAGTACTGTATAATAATAATGCAAATGAAAGTTCCATGAACCATTTGGCCTACTGAACTAGCTAATTCAAGAAATTATGATATACAAATCATAGATCAAATCATTGATAACCAATTCTGGTGGAAGCTGAAAATCCAGAAATAGTAGTCCAGTCTGTTAATGGGGATGTTTTGAGGCAGTGCTCTCAGTACCAGTTACATAGATGGTTTGTTTGTCACAAAGTGTGCAAGTGGTGTTGATTAGAACAAGAGTGTTTTTTTTTTTTAAAAAATCACATAATGAGAGAGCATATTTTTAAGCACTGGGGAGAAAATGTGTTCTTGGGAGTTACCCTGTTTTCTGGTAGAGACAGTCTGGCATGTTTGTAGTCATTTTCACATCTTACTCTGCAGATCCTTCCCCCAGTACCATAACAGCTGTTTAGCAAGGCATCTAAGCCTAATAAAGGCTTTTCTTTGGCATTTCACATACAGGCTTGCCTCCTGATGACTTCTGTTTTGATGAGCTGTTGTACTTTATCTCAATGAAAATACTTCTCTAGCAAAAGCTGAGATAGGCTTTTGCAATGCCAAACCCAAAATGGTGGATTAAAGCAGGCCATAAAATAAAGTAGGAACTTTTTTCAGTGACTTGTTTATACCATACATATGACACAAATAATTAAAACAAGCAGATTTTTGGAATTATAGATTAATTTTAAAATGGAGTTTTTAAATTGTGCATTAAATGCAAAGCAGTATAAGCTTTAGTGCATAACCTGAGCTGTTTGTACTTTTTTGCAGGAAGAAGGTGGTGGACACTAATGCAATTGTTGATTTAAGATTTCGAAGTCAGTATGAGGCAGAAATCAAAATAGCTGTGGTTTAATTTGTCTGTCTCCATTTCTTGAAACACTTCTTTCCTTTGACTCTTTCAAGCATACTTTTTTTGTTGTAGAATAGATAGCAAGTTTTAGAACTTTTATGTCTCTTCTTCTCTTGATTTTAATATAAGACCCAAATCTCGCTTTGCTTTTTGCAAGCTTTCTGAGTTAATTGAGTCCTTATTTTTAATCACAGATTGACAAAAGCCCATTAGCCACTTACTGGACATCACTGGCAGTAAAACAAATTTGTGCTATAAGAGAGGAGGAGTCAACAATGTTGTTACCTTCAGCTTGGTTAAACATTTCTATTGGAGCTCTGCTTGGTGAAATGTGAAAAGTAGCCTTGTCGGGCATGGTGTCACTGCTCACTTTGCAGATGACAAGTCATGTGGTGAGGCAGAGTGACACTGCTTTGCGGCTCTGGTAGTTGCCAAGTCTCTGCTAGGGGATGTAGGAGACACAGGGAACAGGTTCTTGCTCGGAGTTTAGTTTAATCTGAGAGCTGGTAGACTAAGCTGGCATCTGCTGATCAAGCAAACCCAAATTTCCAGGGACTTCAGGAATAGTGCTCCAGCTTTTAGTCCTTTCCTATTAAAAAAAAAATTAACTTTTTAGTCTCTATTGTTTGACTTCACCTTTAATAAAATTTCATCACCAGAATGAATTCAATTAATTGAGGTGAAGGAAAAATAAATGTGTTAAAGCCAACCGGTATCAAGTCCCTTTGCAGAACTGACTCAGCGATGTACTCTGTATGTGAACACTTCCACGTGTTCTCTGAGTTGGTGATTAGAGGGATACTCCAAGTAGCAAATCCAAATATGTCCTATACAAATGAAGCCTTGACTTCACCAAGCTATGGATACTCTTCAGTTGATCCATTTAAATGTGTACTGAATGACTCTTAAGGTGAATTCATTTTTATATGTCTGTTACTAGATGGCTGGAGCTCTCTTCACTGCACTTAGCAAGTGGCCTGAAAACAAGCATGTATCTATATCTGTAAACATGCAAGTGTAGGCTGTTCAGAAGGCAGATGTTAGTGTTTTGTTTCAAATGGTCAATGCATTGTTGCAAAGTAGTAAAAGAAGACTTATCTTTTTTTGCATCATATACCTGTTGTTCATGTTCAAATTGTTCAAGCCTGCAAGGTCAATCTGTGAATAAATCTATTGGTTCTGTCCTCATATGTACAGTCTCTTTCTAGGGGAGGTGCTGCCCTTGTAATCTTCTGCAGAACCACCACCATCCTCAGTTTGGCACAGGCATAGCAAACTCTTCCCTCTTTGTGGAGATACTGTTACTTATCCTGTGTCTCTGAAATCTCAATCCAGTGGTTTGAGATGTGGACCAGAAAGAATAACTTCGTATGAGCAGGTAGAAACAGCTGCTTTGGGCTTCTAAAACTACTGCTGCCGTGATCTTCCAGTTACTTGTCTTAGTACTGCTTGAGCTCCTTCTCCATCAGAAAGTCCCAGTGCAGGCCTTTCTTGACAGGTGGCTGTGTAATGGTTAGGCTTTCCTTTTGAGAAGAGCTCTAGGGTTTGGTTTCAGGATATGGCTGCTGTAAAAGCTTCTGTTTTCCTCATTAATAGTCCTTTCTCCTTCAGTGTTAAACTACTCTGAAGTCCAGAGGAATCTTTGATTCGGTTCCCTAGGGGTGAAGATCAGGAATTAGTTTCAGTTAAATGATTTCTTAGTTTTCTGAGGAAGCATGCTGTCATTTGGAAATAGAAGCGACATTTTCATTTCATCATTGAAATGATGTCTTCTGGTAGAAGGGAGGTTCCTGCCTGCAGGAATAATATACTGAAAATTGGAGCATAATACTCATATTTTGTTTGTCGTCACTGGGCAAAAAGGTAAGGGCTTTTAATATTTAAACTTGTAGGCAGATTACAGGGAATGGCTGCTGATAGTACTTTAAAATATTTAGTCATAACCAGCTTGCGCAAGTGCAATATAAAATCCATTCTTATGGAGAGATCTTTGCATTTTAAGCTTACTCAGTCAAAATATTTCAGGCAGTTGGGGTTTTTTGTTTGGGCCTTATGTAAAAGGTCAGAAGGCTTTCTTCCTTTTTGAAAGACTAACAGGGTGTAAGCCAAGGCAAAAGCGTAGGTAGCTTCAGGCACACACTGTTTTCTAAAGGCTTGTAAAGGCTGTCCTCATAAGTAATTTCGTTTGAGTCTCTCTGCTGTGCAAAAACTGAATTGCAAGAATTCTCGTCCCTTTGGTTAATTTAAACTAGATGGTTAGCTTAAGAGGGGTTATACCACTTTATTTTGAGCCAATTCTGCCCTACTTGTGAAAGCAAGCTCAAAAATCCCCCAAAACTTCTGTGATCCAAATTCTAGCACTGCCAGTTTCGTTTCTATTTAAATGTAAAGCACTGAGCAGCTGAGAAATGTGGTTGTGGAGGGATTAAGCTCCAAGAAATAGACAGAGGTGGCAGGCTCTCCTCTGGGTTCTGTCAGCCTCAAGCACTAGCAGCATAGATGAATCCTTTTTAGTTAACAGCTATGAAAGCAATGGCTCAGAGTTTTAATGCTTTAGCTAAGTACCTGTTTTGTTGCAGGGCAAGCTGGTCAGAATCTGGTTTATGCATGTGAGACTTTGCTGTGGTTTGTTTTTCTCCAAAGGTCTATTGATTTTGTAGCCTAACAGAAGCAAAAGCAACTTAAGCTAGATCAGGGAAGAACATCATGTATTAGCAGACTCTACTTTAATGACCTTTCAGACCATTTTACTGTTGGCATTGGAAGTATTTTAAAAAAACAAAAATATTTTGCTGCTTGTATTTGATTATCAAACCTTGAAACATACTGTTGGTGTGTTGAGATGATAAAAGAACAATGTTACATAAAAAAATTTGCCTTTGTATCTGTAAAGGATTTCTCTGAAGTGCTATGTAATTACATACTAATATACATTTTTATGAATCAGCTAATGTTTTTTTCCTGGTTTTGTGTTGTTTTCAGAATACACCGATGATAATGCCCTGATTCCGAAGAACTCATCGGTAATTGTTAGAAGAATCCCTATTGGAGGAGTTAAAGCTACCAGCAAAACATATGTTATGTAAGTATCCATAAAGCATTGTATTCTTTGTGAGGGGTTTCAGTGTGTTAACTTCTTCTGTCTATAATAGTTTACAGAGGCATTCAGGTTCTATCTTTCTAGCTGCTCTTAGTTTTTGTTGTAATGGGGTAGATTTTAAATCCAAAGTAGGTTTAGGTTTTTAGGCCTACTGGGACACGGGGTTCAAACTCCCAGCTATGATAACTTTTAAGATCACTTTTGAATTTGTTCTTGGGGTTGATTTTTCTGAGGCCCAAGTAATGATCTCTTTCCTCTACGTGGAGAGATTCCTTATTATATGTGTTTACTTTTATTGCTTTTATAGTAAAGAGAGACATCCATTGTAGTGTAAACTTATAATTTGTTCCTGTCTCCGAAGAGTCTGATTCTCAGTACTTGACTATTTCTTGCACTTGGGGGTGGGTGGGATATGAAAGTTATTCTTAAGCCCCAAATCTGGGGATTTTGCATACTAGCTATAGAGGAAGGACCAAGGGTTGCCAGGTGGTGAGCAATGCAAATAAGAAGTTTCATTTATAAGTGATTCCTGTCGATTTGCTGAAGACAATGTCCATTTCAGACAAGAGGAAACAATATCCTGAAGTGCATTGCCTTTTGTGCATGCAAATAAGAAGTTTCATTTACAAGTGATTCCTGTCGATTTGCTGAAGGCAATGTCCATTTCAGACAAGAGAAAAAGAACAATATCCTGAAGTGCATTGCCTTTTGTGCAAATATGGTGAAGGAATAGTTAATCCATTCCAAATTTGAAACTGAGTAAGCAGTTTAGCACATTACCAAATGTTACCAGTTATCTTTCTAAGTCTTTTTTTACCCTAAGCTGATACCTGTGCTCCAGGTTTTGATTCTGTATTCCTAAGATTTATGGAGGACAGAGAATCAGATGTACTAATTAAAGATATTCAAATGCAGTGCCAACACTACAGGGTTATTGCTATCACTTATGTATTCAAACGGTCCAGTTCTATGTCAGCTACGTTAGCATGGTTTGAATGGTCATGTTTTCCAGCCTTCATAAAGATATGCCTCTCTACCACAATTAGTAGATATTATTAGTGTTTGGTTTTGCCATGTCTTTCTCATGCTGGTTCTCAATAAGTAAAGCATACTGATGAGTTACAGTGTGTATCCAACAAACAGTACAGCAGCATCCTGGTACTCATGAAGCATTTGCAAGTAAAAAACCCCGAATTTATGTGGCTCTGTGTGTAAACTTCAGGCATATTACTGCAGTAGTTGCTGCATTGCTTTCAGGCACACCCTAGTAATTCTGGACACTGCAGCGTTGTGCTTACAAACGTGGCCTTGATTTCGGGGTTCATTTCAATATGTATCTTACTGCTGTCTTGTCAGTGCATCCTCTGTTTCTGGTTGGATGGCACCCTCTTCTGGTGTTGCTGCCCTGAAATGAGAGTACAGATGCTGCTAGCATCAAAGATCAAATAAATACCTGTATGCAGGGATAAGGAAAGAATGGCACTGCTGTTCTAACATTGAAAATTAACCAGGCAGATTAGCTTTCTATTCCTGTAGCTGGAAACATTGCAGAAACAACTCGTAGAGTGCTTAATGTCTGGGAGTTATAAATGTACCCTGTAATGGTGGGGAGGCCTTCTAAAATGCTTTCCTGGCCTTGCAGTATGTTCTTCAGGGTAGATGTATGAAGAAACCATTGTGTGGTAATCTAAAGTATTTCCTTGTACTTCCTCATCTTCAGGAGGTACGTGGCTGTAATTGAGAGCCTGGTGACATTCTAATAGTGGCAGGAAGCACGAGCCTTTCTAGTCGTACATAAATTCCACAGCAGCCTTTGAATTGCCTCTGCTCATGGGACACTTTGGATGATGTATGAATTGTTTGTTAAGTATATCAGTGGTTGCATGTCTGATTCACGATGAGTAGCATGCAGATACAGATCAATGAGTATGTGGAATCTCAGCAAGTTTTCAAATGTAATAAATATTTCCTAAAATACTGTAGCATTTTCAAGATTCTCTTAAATCAAATTCTGGCAATTAAGACCTTTTTTTTTGTCACAGGACTCCTAAATCGCACAAAATCCTAGAAACTGCTTTCAGGTGACATTTCTACTACTATTTTTAGTCAATATAGCATATGTAACACATTTAGTATTTCGGCACTTTTCATGGCTAAATCTAGTAGATATCTGAACACAGTGCTTGGGCTTCCACAAAGAAACACTGTTCTCAAGACTACGCTGCTGACATTTTTATGTTACTCCTTTGTCAGAGAACTGATTTTTCTCACTTAAGTAAATTTGCACTTCGAAGTGTCTAGACTTACCACTGTTCTTTCTTAGAAATAAAAGTACTGTATCTGGTACCTATTTGTAAGACTAAGGGTATACAGATTGGCTAAAGCTACCTTCATATTTAGGTCGTTGATTATTTAAGAACACAAAATTGTAGCACAGACTTAATGCTTTTGATACTTTGATACTTTTTGATACTCTACTTTTGATAGCAGAGTCTAAATACCTGAGGACTTCCTCTTGCACTGTTGTGTTCTTATCTGTAAGTCTTAGAATATTTGTGACAAACTAGAAATGTGATTTTGGGGGTTTTTTTAGTTGCACTGAATGTATCAAATAGAGAACAATTTATGTATACGAATAAATTTCCAGTCACTAGACTATCAGAACATAATGTTTTGGTGTTCAGGTTTTACAATGTGGTTTTGATGCTTTATGTTGGGTACGTGTGCTATATTTTAAATTCTGATCACTTTTATTTCTTCTTCTAGAAGTCGAACTGAGCCAGTGAGTGGAACATCAAAAGCAGTATGTAAAAACACAATCTCACACTTTTTTCTACACACTGCACTTAATTCTAAACAATGTAGCCTTTTAATAATTTTCCAAACATTAATTTAATATATTTTCTAGTGAAACATAGTATATGCTGTAAATACAATGTATTTGATTCAGCATAGTAAAAACTGAGTAATGCCATCATTTGCAGAGTTCTAATGTGAATATTGGTATTTGTGCCTAGTAATGCATTGTATTTCATATTGAATATGCTAGAATATTTCCTGTATGACTTTGTGTTGTACAGATAATGTATGATCATTTTTAGATCATGTAGGTTCAAGGTTTGCTCAATTGAACATGGTGCCATGTTCTACATCTGTCTGTCTATAGCTAGTGATATGTATGTTTGTATAGGTTGTTGTGTGCTTTTTGTTTCTTGCAATAAAAATTGTTTGGAGTGTATTTTTTGCCATTTTCACATTGTATCACTTAGCTTTTGTTTTTAAATACTTTTTTTGCCTAATGGTTTTTGAAAATGTTATCAAAAACCACTGAGAAACCATTATTGTTAAACTTGGTACTGTTTCTTACTTTCAACTTGGGGGTTCAAACAAATACCAAAACCAACATATCCCATATGTTTTGAGGACAGTTCTGTGCAGCTAAACGATTCCTTTTCGTGTCCTTAAATACTTGGGTATTTGTTCCTAAAACTGTATAATTGAAGTGATATTGTTTGGGCCCCTCTGAGTGCATAAATGTCTATAATAGATTGCCATGAATTTAAATATCGTTGCTACACAAAGTGGTATTCTAAAGTTCTGCGTTTGATCCTTCTGCTATATCTGATGAAGCAGTTTAGTTTAATAGTTCCTCTGCCAATGAAACTATCTAAAACCCAGTGTACAAATTTTGGCACAAGGTCAGAGCCTGGTGCATTTGTGGGTAGAATTCCTGTTATTTTTCTTAACTTCTGCCTGCAGTACATTTTTGGATCTGGGTGACTTCAGAGTTGGATGCTGCTTTAATTTCCCAAAGGTTAAGCCTTTCTTTAGTATACCACCACTTGGAATTTATACTTGGAAAAGGGGCAGCATTTTTTTTCAGTCTTGAAAACGCTGTCATTCTGCTGCTAGAATATAAATAAGTAACACAAGGAAATACTTGACTGGTGATGGTCTAGATCTTGATTTGCCACTTGGGTCGAATAATATGTGTAACTATGCATTTCCAAATAGTCCTTATAGTATAAAAATTACTATTTGGTGTTTTTTATTTTCCATCTTTATTTTAAGTATAACTGCTTTTTCTTCACTAGAATGGTGTGAGGCATTACACTAACCCTGGATCATTGGATCTGATGACTTGATAAGCTGTTAGGATAACTTAATCTAGAAATTCATGAACTCTGGGTCTGTGTTCTGTGAAGAATACAGCCTCTCATTCTCGTGGAATGGTACACAACTTAAAATTGAAAACTTTTTGTGTGTAGGCCTAAAACACTAAGTCTAAATCTGCATCCATAATTATATTGCTGATTGATTTGAATTCCTTTTTGGACATGAATGCCTCTCATTGTGAGTTTGAGTTAGTTTTACTGGCCCAGTGACCCTAGTAGTTAATGTAATGCATTTATGTAAACCACATTTATAGTACTTGATCTAATTCAGATGGGTTTTTATTTCTTGAAAACAGTTATTTTTCTTTTTGTTTACTAGCATGTGTATAAACACAAATCACATGTTTCATAAATAAAGTTAACATTCTTTTAGCCTCGTGTGTTCCCTGGCATGTCTGTATTACATTTCTAAGTAGCATCTTACCATAAGCTAACATAGATGTCTTAAAAAAGAAGAAAAAAAAAAAAAGGAAAAATAAATCCTGGAGTGGGAGGGAAGACTAAGCGTTAGTTAGAACTAATTAAAGTAAATGAAAGGCAAAGCTAAAGCATTCCCTTCTTGTTTGCTATGACTGTACCTGGTTTGGGTTGTGGGTAGCCATAGGGAGGGTGGAAGCCTTGCATCTCTCTCCACAAGTCCTCTCTCTATCTCTCACTGTATAAACCCTGCAGTTTCAGGTGTGTCTAGTGTTTGAGACACAATTAATTTTATTCTTAAAGCTAACTCAGGCCTTGGCCTAAAGCGTGGGAGCTTTGTTTGTGTGTTGTTTTTTTTTAAATACACATTTCTGTATGTATTTCACAGCAGAAACTGGATCTTAGTGTGGAAGGAATAAATCGCTGGAAAGTTTGCCAATTGTTGAACAGTAAAGCAGCAAAATTAAAATTAGTTAATTTAAAAAAAAAAAAAAGATTGCACAGAAGCTTATACTTTGAATATTTCTTCACTGTCTTGCTCTTATGTTACACTTCCAAATCTGTGCTGCTGTCCTACTGTTACTACAGCCAGGTCAGGAAAGGGGATTCTTTTTGGTTTAGTATTACCATTTCAGTAACTGCAAGGATCTCGTGTTGGTATTTGTCCTTAGAGGCTGCAGAAATACAGAGAGTTTTGTCCATTGTTTTATTGCCATCAAGCAGAACTGTCATCCTTCCTGGCTGAACTTCTAGTTTAGCCAAACTATCGGGTTTTAGGAAACCACTTTAAATGTAGCATTTCAGCAGTGAGATTAGACTTTTCCTCCTATTTTCTGTCAGCTTCTTTTGTGATAGCTTTATTTTAGTCTCCTGTTTAAAAGGGGAGCTAATACGTTGACTGTCAATGCTGGGATTTTGGGTTGGGGTTTTGGGTTTCTTTCCCCAATTCTTTTGCAGTGTTTTCTTAGGGTTGTATACAAGTTTCATGGAGATGCTGTTTCTTCTTGACTGATTTGAGGGACTGGCAGGAAATACTTCAGTAGAAATTTAAAGGGAAAAAAAGACACAAGAATGTAGGATTATTGGAAGATGGCCATTGGGCAAACTTACTAAATAGTACATTAATTATCTACTTGCTGCTTTTGATAACTGTTTAGTAGAAAGGAGTGCTATCACCTCCTTTAAGAAATTAGACTGTTGCCTGCAGGCCATGTAATAACTGTTTCCTAAAAAAATACAAGAGCTGATTAATAGTTTATTAACTGTTACATTTCAGTTATTGGTCAATACTAGATGGTTTAACACTAGACTCCAGTAGGGAGCTTTCCTAATTTTGTGTTTGTTACTGAAAAACCACAAAACAATAGTGGTTGTGCCTGCCCTGAGAGAACATGGGCGTGTTTTTCCACATGTAAAAAAGAGTGGCATATGGAGCATGACGCTGCAAAATGCTTGATCAGACTTCCTTTTTAACATTACTATGTACAAAATGTTCTGAAAAGAAGGAAAGTTGACTCTTCTGGTAAAACTTGCAACAGAGAGAAGGTCTCTCTTTCCAGATTGAGGTGTTCCTTTCCAAAGGAACGTTTTCAAGAACTTTTTAGTTTAGCAATAGAGTGATGCTGTAGGTGCTTTCCTGAACGTATAGAGGAATGATTAACTGGAGTGAGGAATCGTCTCCTACATGTAGATATTTTTGCCCCAGACACTGCTAAAGCTAATCCCTTGAATTCTTCCACTGCATTAGGTAATGAAGGACAAGCTCTTTTTCCAGTAAAGGATTTTAATCTCTCTTCTGATCAATTTAGTGACCTCTTGAGGAGAGCTTTTCTAAATTTTTGAGCGACTTAAGACATAATAAGCATGATTCAGGTGTCTTTCTGATAATGTTTTACTAGTGTGAGCTTAATTGCTATTTGTGGCGTAATATGATTCAATATACTGGAAAAGGAACAAGACAAGAGTTACCCTTTTTACTTGTGGAAAAACTGCACTTCAGTACTAGTTCTCAATAAACACGGCAGTCCATCTCTAGCTAGTGGCCTGAGGAGTTCACTCCTGCAAGCTGTTCCAGTAGGTAGATGGGAGGGAGGAGTGTTGTTGCAATGGATTAAAAATATCACAAAGTTGTGCTCTGAATCCATGTTTTCATCATCAAGACTATGCTTTACACTTTCTTGCTTTTGTTTGTTTAGTACTAGGCTGCTATTAAAAACTGCTTTTGGTCTGATAGCAAGGAAAATACTAAATTCTCACACTTCCCAAACTAATTTGGATAGTATGGCCTGTGGCCTAAGAAGAAAATCATTGATAAATCAGTTTTCTTAGTTTTTATAGGCTACTCCATCATGATAAACACATTTTATTTAAATAATTTAGGCAGTTGTTTTTTTCTAGATGAAGTGGTGGATTACTTTTGGGTTACTTTTATGGCTGATGTTTTAGACTGGTGTTTTTATTTGGGTTTTGTGGGGTATGATGAGTTTGGCATGTTTAAGGGCAGTTATGCCTATTCCTTATTCTGACAGGCAGCTGCTGTGCTCATAAAAACATGACCATGTGCATTTATAAATAATGTAACTTACCAACTACACTGAAAATAAGTTTCCTGTAGTGATGCTTCTTTCTCAGATAAACATAATATATTTTTTTTTAAATCTGTTTTAGCTGAGAATTGACAACTTCCTTACCCTTTTGACTTATAAGCACTTGTGAACATTTGACAAGCATCCCTCTCTGAGATATTCTGGAGCAATAAGTTGATCTCTGGAGGTTATTTTAGTTTCTTCTTCTTAACCACATAGGCAGTCTCTTAAGCTATCATAGATTTGGACTTTGTTTTGAATAAATGCAAATTACACTGGGTTGGAAATGCCTCTTTCGGTGACATTATCATAGATTTGGACTTTGTTTTGAAAATACAAATTGCACTGGGTTGGAAATGCCTCTTTCGGTGACACTCAGGATATAGCGCAGACTTTCAGATTAGAGTAGAGGTTAACTATTGCTATGTTTTGACTGTAGAACTTGAATATGTGTTTAATTTTTTGTGAACAGATTGATGACTCTTCTGCATCTATTTCTCTGGCCCAGCTTACTAAGGTATATATATTCTTGTCAAATACTTTAAAAAAAGTGTTTGCTTCGTATTTTTAAATTTATACTGTGATCTATAGCTGGATAACTGTTGTAATTTGAACAAAACTTTAAAATATTTTTTAATAATTTAAAGTATTTATTTTAACTTTAAAATGTGTGTATATTTTGATACTATCCTGTAAAGAGTAGTTCCCAGTTTGGGAAGATAGAAGGGGAGTACCTTATCAGCCTCAACATAATGTTGCAGTTTTACTCATCTTCAAGACACAAAGAAGAAGCACTTCAGAAGCTGTTTACCGTTTTTCATACGTTTCGTTAATTTTGCGTTGGAAACTTAACACAATTTTGCAGAAGAATTTAATTGGCTGTAAGTTATGGACATTCCAGGGGGGGTTGCAACAGCCAAAATAGAAGCGTTTTTTGTAACATGGACAATTGCATGGCTATTTTTGAATTTCTAGACGTTACAGTTACAGATCCATTCTTTGAATGCTGCACAATTTCATACATTGTAGTATATATACAGTGGACAACATGATCTAATTTGTTTGAACGCAGACTGTGTAAATTGTGTAAATGTACCTAATTGTTTATAGGAATATACCAATGTGTATGTGTGGCATATTAGCAGATGTGACCTTCTGAAACTGTTGTAATGCCATGTTTTGCTATGAACTGCTTGCATTTTTTGCTCAACATTGTGTAACTTTGTCTGGGAAAGCACTAGTGATTGCACTTTGTGAAAAGGCATAGTGCTAGCCAATTAAATTCCTAGTCTTTAAAGTTACAAAGATTAGAGAAGGTAGGACCTAATGCAGAGTAGCTAGTTCATTCTTCTGAAAATAAAGGCTGGAGTTCATTTCCAAGAAAGAGAAATCTCTTCCCACTGATAACTTCTTCCCTCTCTCTGCAGAAATTAAATTGTGTACTCTTGGGGGGAAAAAAAAGTAGCTTGGAAGGTAGCCACCAAAAGAAATTGGTCTCCATTAGTGCTGTCCCTAAACGTGTCCTTGGTTCTGTAAACTCATGAAGTTTTACTCTAAAATGTGAAAAACTGTCCAAGGTGGTGTACACATTTAAGCTTTCAAGAAAATTTAAGCATTTCAGAAAAAATACAGGAACATAACATAAAGCAGCTCAAAACTGTTACTTACTCTAACATCTTTAGTGCAGACTGGCTTAGCATGGAGGCAATGTGTTAACAGTTTTCTGGTTTATTATTACTATGTATTAAATGCCATATTTGAATTTTGGTCTATTCCTACTAATGTTTTGTGGGTTTTGGATGTGTTTTGTAAACCGTTTGGGTTCAAACAAATTAGTCAAGTATCTGTAAAGTTTTCTGTAAATGTTAATGGAAATGATTTCATAGCTGTCGATCTGGATTATGTTACTGTTGAGAAAAAACTGTGTATATGAAACAACCATTTAATAAAATGTTGAAACTAGTTGGTTGCTTTTGTGAATGAATGCATATAAAAACAAAAACATGAGTGGTTGATCTGAATGATAGGTGCTTGAAGGTCCAAATCATTTACAGTCACTCCCTTAGACCCTGCTTGTATCTGGACTAGTGTGTAATATAAACATTTTAACAAATACTACTTAAAAAATCAGCTGGCTTCAATAATTTGAAGATCTAGTTTGCATAAGGTTTCTATTACAATTTGTGTGTTAAAAGGACACAGTCAACTGTAAAAAAAAAAAAAAAAGAAAAAAATGCAGGTTTTGCTTACTGTAGTTAAATCACAATATGAAGAAACTAGTAGAGGGCAACAGGCAGTTTGCTCTGCCAACAGCACATGAAAAGAATGGTTTGTCTTGCTGAGGGATTGTAAAAAGCTTGATTCCTTTTAATGCTTCTGTGTCAGAAGTTGAATTTCAGCAAGCAAGAACTTCCCCAACTCTTAAGTTGTGTGTCCTTTTAATGTTGCAAACTGTAAATAATGATGCTTACATACATGTTTCTCAATTAAATGTACAGTGGATATCTTTTCCTTCAAATAGTCTGGAGCTTAAAAATCAGTTTAAAAATACTGGATAGTATGGTTTTTTTCTTCACGTAGCTTCAGTCCGCTTTGAAGAAAATTGGATTGGTTACACAAGTCTTTATGTAAGGTACAAACAGAGCCTAAGGTTTTGAGTGCCCAAGAATGCTCTTTTCGAGTAGGTTAACAGGCACATAAACATCATGTAATGGCGTAAGGACTCCCCAGAACATCTTCAGGACAAATATATTTTAAATAAGCAGCTGTTTTCATGCAACCTCAGCTAGCGTTGTGCTGCTCTTTACAGGATTGGATGAGTGGTGTTGTCTTTGGCTGTGTGGGCTTAAATGTGTTTCTAATGTGTGTGTCAAATAATTACCTGTTAAACAGACTGCCAATCTGGCTGAAGCCAATGCTTCCGAAGAAGATAAAATAAAAGCTATGATGACACAGTCTGGCCATGAATATGATCCAATCAAGTAAGTGTTGATAATGTCAAATCTGTTCTTTGAAGATTATGAAGAAATTGTAGAGATGTTTGTTTTAACAAGAGACACACATGCATACCTTTTTTTCCCCCAAAACTTCTAGTTACATGAAGAAACCCTTGGGTCCACCTCCACCATCATACACGTGCTTTCGTTGCGGAAAACCTGGCCACTATATAAAGAACTGTCCAACAAATGGGGTAAGATTATGGGGGATTTCTGGTATTGCTAAGTTTTTAATTTTTTTTTTACCTTGGCAGTTATTTAACAAATATATGAATGTTCATATTAGGAATTGTTTTTCTTGGGGTGAAATACAGAGGGGAGTGTTGCAGTGCAGTGTTGCAGAGCACTTCAAATTCAAGGGAAACCTGGAATTATAAATGCAAAATCTTTTTTTTTCTAGGTCATGAGCATTAAACATGTCTGTAGATTTTTCTCTGTGAACTTTCATATATATTTTGATATATTTCAGTATTATTGGAAATTTTTCTCTCTTTCTAACTTTATATGACAGTTCACAGTTTTTAATATTTCATATTAAAAAAAAGATGTTTCTGTTGATCCCATCTACTGAATATTTGCATGTTTTAGTTATACAAGTCTCTGGTTTAGTATTAATTGCTATTTAATATGAGTCACTGACTGTGTAGGCATGATCTAAGAATTTAACCTTGGTATGTAGATGGTGAATATAAGTTTCTCCAGTGAGTGATTCAAATCACTGAATTAAGCTCTCACTCTGAATTGTCCTTTGGAGGAGGGTTTGTGTCTCTCCTCTGAGTAGATGGTGAGCTAAGGGCTATTTCACCCGTAAGGAACCCGAAATGAAGCCAAAGAATGTCTGTTGAATTCAAAACACTGCTCAAGTCTATGGAACATCCTGTCTTTATTCATTTAGGGAAATAAGTATTTCAGTTGAGCAACACAAGCACTAGGTAAAAGAAGAGGATTAAAGGGTTTTGCTGTCAAAAATAATCATTGAAATCTCATTTTAAGTGTGGGTTTTAAAATGAGCTACATCTGCGTTTCTTTTCTTAACAGGACAAAAATTTTGAGTCAGTTCCCAGAATTAAAAAGAGCACAGGAATTCCAAGGAGTTTCATGATGGAGGTGAAAGATCCCAATACCAAGGGTGCTATGCTGACAAACACTGGAAAATATGCAATACCAACTATTGATGCGTAAGTATGGAATTAATCAGACTGACTGAAAAGGGAACCAAGAGAAACCATGTGTACGTGCCTAAATAGAAATGCAACCATGTTTGCCAGTGTCTGTAATTACAGGAGATGAAGCTTTGTCATCGTATCTCAACCTTAAAATCTGTGATGCTTTCTAATGTCAGAATAGGGTGGTCTTATTGTTCATTCCCCTGGAAGTTGGTTAAGCTTGTGGTGTACTAAGAATCTGTATTTCTGCAAAACATTTCGGCAGTGTTTGTTGTTGGAGTCATTCTCTTTGAAAGCTCATTTTGCTTCTGTTTATGTTTCAAAGGCTTCTTGCAAAATTTAACAAACAGCTGTTGGACTGAGATTTTTATCAAATCTCATGTGTGAAACTGACTGAATTTTTCCTGTTGCTGTAGACTAAGAAAATAATACTGTGTATTGAGAACAGTGGCTGTTTAAAATGCACTTGGTAGCACTTCTGTTTTTCTGTTGTGGATCTCCTTTTGTAGAAGCTGTAACATAAGACTTCTTTCATTTATAAAATGTAATTACTCAGAGACTAGCTTTATCCTGAGCCTGCAACTTACATTTACCCTCCGGCAAAGGAGAGATGGGATTCATTTCACCTGGTTTCTAGCTGTCAAAAAAATACTTTTCTAGTCTCAGCTAATTTTGTGGTTGATCCAATGAATGGGAGAGTTCTGCAGAAGGAAGATTGTTCCCCCCTCCTTCTTCTACTGTTGTGGCTATAAAAAGATATTTTAGAACGCTAATGTGAAGTATTTCTATCTATTATCTTCCTTTGATAAAATCCAAAGCTTCTAGAAGTTTTCTTTTGCCCATCTTAAACTTTTTTTTTTTCTTTCCACCTCCTCTAGGGAAGCTTACGCTATAGGAAAGAAGGAAAAGCCTCCTTTTTTACCAGAGGACCCATCCTCTTCCTCAGAAGAAGATGATCCTATTCCAGATGAGTTGTTATGTCTCATTTGTAAAGATATAATGACTGATGCAGTTGTTATTCCCTGCTGTGGAAACAGTTATTGTGACGAATGTAAGTGTTAGTCCTGTGTTTGTTAATTCGAAACATCAAATCTGATCTTCTCAGAGCAGAAATAGGAGATAACGAAATCACTGTTCCCAGTTCTGTTTGACACTTGACTATACCCTGAATAAGAAAGGACTCTTCTCATATAAAGAAAAAAAAAGAACAGAAAGCTTTTTTCCCTTCTTATCTATCTTGTTAAATCCACTCTACATGCGGAAGGATGAGTAAGAGAAAAGTGATAATTGTGCAAGTGATTACAGTATTAGATATTGAATGCATTTAGTTTGTCCACAGTCCTTTCTCTCGTACAAAATGACATGTCCAACTCTGTTGACTTAAGTGTGGTCTGCAACATGGATAGTTAGGCATTTAATCTGCTTCTCCATGGGAGAGTTAAGAAGTTAAAACCTTCCAAATTCAAACCTGCTAATGTTTTTTTTTAAATGTTTTATTCATTAACCTTGAGGTTGTTGACTTCTCACTGTACTAGATATTGGAAAAAAGACTAGTTGAAACATCAAGACACAGCCTGCTCTACATCTTCAAATGTTACAATAGTGAAATACCAAAACTGTGTAGTTACTTGCTGCATACTAGAAGTTTTTTACACTATTCAGTATCTATAGCTCCTTGCTCTCAATTCAAGACCATATTCACCCATTAATCGTATACATGTTTTTATAATTGATTAGAACCAAAAAAATTTCCTTAGTTTGGCTAAAAACTATTTCAATTGCTCTAATTATTCACAGGTATTAGAACAGCATTACTGGAATCTGAGGAACATACGTGTCCAACGTGTCATCAAACCGATGTTTCTCCTGATGCTTTAATTGCCAATAAGTTCCTACGCCAGGTAACACCATTACTTTTATGTAAACTGTTTGTAAGAAAAGTCTATTTGTAAAAAGTGGAAAGGGAAGAAAATATTTACATCTCCTTAAGCAGGGCTAAATTGAATAAGGCTAAATATACTTTTTAAATATATTACCTATTGTTACAGCTCTTGAGAGACAACCTGGCAAATTCAATTCACGATTGTTTAACATGATTGCCTTACTTTCAAATTCGGTGTTAACACCAAAGGACTTTAAATACAGATACTCAGTTACAGTCATTAATAACAGTGTTTAATGTGATGTGTTCTTATATCTGTATGTTGATTTCTTTAGGATTAATAGCATTTACAGAAATGTACAAGTAATTTTGCTCTGTGAAGGCTTTTGTTTGTATATCTGCTGAGGTTTCATACTACCTTTCTGTAAATGTTTTTCTGCCTTTAGGCTGTGAACAACACTCTGTGGAGGCTTTTGTTTGTATATCTACTGAGGTTTCATACTACCTTTGTGTAATGTTTTTCTGCCTTTAGGCTGTGAACAACTTCAAAAATGAAACTGGCTACACAAAAAGGCTCCGTAAGCAGATTCAGCAGCAGCAGCAACAGCAGCAGCAGCCACAGCCTCCGCCGCCACCACCACCTCCACCACCCCTCATGAGACAAACAATAACACGCAACCTGCAGCCTCTGCTCCGGCCAACAATTGCCAGACAGCAGGATCCACTAATGATACCATTAGCTTCTCTGGCTTCTCGTTCTGCTTTGTCATCCTTGGGCCCTGGTCAGTCTGGGCTACCAGTAAATCCGTCTTCTGTTGTTGTCTCTGATCTTCCTCCAGCAGTGTCCCTATCCCTCCGGGGTGAAAAGCATGATGGACCTTTTCGGTAAGTAAAACTGTAGATTCACGTGAATATAAAAGGCAGCAAAAAGGCTTAAGTCAGATTATTCTTCTTGAACACTTCAGATAGCAATTTATATATTATTAGTGACAGTTGCAGATAATTGTGGGAGTTCTGGCTTTTGTGTTTACTTAGAGGGAGGACTCTTTGATAGTTGAAAGTGTGCTTCATGCAAGAATTTTCTCAGAAGTGTTTCGTGTTTGGTTCCCTTATCAGTCATTCAGTACAGGTTTACCCTGAATGAGGAACCCTTTTTTCCCTAGGAGCCCTTGATTTTAAGTGGCTGAGCCCTTGATTTTAAGTGGCTAGCAATTCTTAAAGTAACCGTTTAGTTATGTCAAACCTTCAAAATTGTTTAGGGCTTATATCCTGTCAACTTTATGCCTTGAATGCAAGTAGGCACTCTGTCCAGAAGGCCGTCAGGCTGAGATGTATATGAATACAAAAGATGACAATTCAATGTGTAGGGCAGCCTCTGAACTAGCACATAAACATTTCTTAATAGAATTTCAGTTCTTGCATCTTCCAAAACTGAGATTCAGTGCGGGGGTTATATATACCCTAATCCTTTCATGAGCAACTAGCTTAATAAAATATGTTTCCAGTGAGTTTTCTCTTTAAATGCCAGTTAGTCCAGATAGACTTCTCATCAGTGCTTCATTTGGAATCGGCCAACTTTACATTTGTAAATCTGGGGAAGATGTTTATTTTCTTCCACTTCCAGTAGTCGGCCTTTTCCCTCCTTGGCCTTTCCATGCCAAGTAGCATCCTAATAGGATTGTGAGGTTATAAGAATGTGGGGTTTTTTGTATTGATGCTGACCCTGTTTTACCTCCCGCTGCTCTCGTGAATGCTGCGGAACTTCCGAAATCTTCCCCTCTGTCGATCACCAGTTTGTTGGAAGAGAAGGTAAGTTTTATTTCAGCATATGCAATCATTCTTGTATTTTAGTGGAGATTATTTTCTAACTGTTTGCATTTATTTGCAAGGGCTATCAGGTTCCTGTACTAAGACAACCAGCATTGCCAAGTCTTCTGGGCCCCCAAGGACAATCAATACCCACAACTGGTAAGTAACTGTAACTTAAGAGTTTCTTCTGAAAAATTATCTTCGGATAAACTGAATGTTTGGGTTTTTTCTTTTTTTTTCTCCCCACTTCCAAAGGTCATCCAATGAGAGCCAGTACCATTCGCTCAGCAGGTGGCAGACCAGGCTGGGAGCTGTAAGTATTCTACAGAAATTCAATATATTGCTACTTGTAACCTGTTAAATTAGGCCATAACACGTAACATACAACAGCTGATTTATAATAAAGTAAGTATGTACAGATAGTTATGAAGAATACAAGTGGTAATTAATTTTTAAATGGCTTAATTTGAGTTAGCTCTAACAAAGGGGATCTGTGCTTGCAGTAAGATTATTTAAAATAAAACTCCAGTACATAATTGAAAAGAGGACTCTGAAAAATGCACACTTTGAGGAAACCATAATTACATATAAAAATTAAATATAATTAAACATCAGATGGAAAGCCACCCTTTTGATTACTGGCTGAATAGGGCTGAAGAAATTGATTTCCCAATAGAAATCAGCCTCCAACATTCTTTCTTTAACAACTTAGTTGATACCAATTGAGCAAATTATTGGAAAAGTCAACGCTGTAATTTTATGACTGTTTTGAATTTCTTCAATGTAGTCATCTCAAACAGCCAAGCTGCTTTCTCTCAGTTGGAGAGAGGAGTCTGTTTTATCTGTCACTGCAGTGTCAGTTCAGTCCTTCGTTTTGCGATGTATTTGTTACAGATAGATTGTAAGGGTGCATTGTGTTCATAAAATCTTAAAGATAAAACCCAGGATCCATCCCAGATTACCTAAATTCAGTAAGCGAGACAAAAGCAGTTTGAGGACACGAACAGGCCAAATGCATCATCATGAGGGAACGACACAGGAGGTGTATGTGGGAGGAGTTACAAGGTGTTTGAGAGAAGATCATTTAGTATCTGTGCAGTACTTTGAGGATGACAAGTGTGAAGTATCAAGGAGTGGCAGAGGAGCAGTGGGCACATGGGAGATGAGAGTTTCTTTTAAGCATGGGCAGTCTCCATCCACAATTGCAAGGCTGAGTATAAGGGGAGAAGGCCAAGGGAACTCTTAGGGATGAGGATGTGGAAGGCAAATAAGAGAATAAGGAAATGAGTGTAGTCTCTCATGAACAGAAAACAGGGAAAAACGCTGAAGTTGAGAACAGGAAGCACTCGCCACCATGTTCCTGCTTTGTTCGCTTTCCTCTTGAAAATCAGGGCAGAGTGTAACAAAGTGACACATGTTTTTGGGTTTCTTTTGAAGTGCAAATCGAGGACGCCCGCATAGTGACCGTGCCCAAAGGACTCAGGCCCCATCACTACCAGCATCAACACCAGTCTTTGTGCCTGTGCCTCCACCTCCCTTGTATCCTCCACCACCCCATGCACTTCCTCTTCCACCGGGGGTACCACCACCACAGTTTCCTCCTCAGTTTCCACCTGGTCAACCTCCATCTGCTGGGTACTCTGTCCCCCCTCCAGGATATCCCCCAGCTCCTGCAAACATGTCATCAGCTTGGGTACCAACAGCAGTACCAGCGGCTCATTCAAATGCCATCCCAACGACACAAGCACCTCCCTTATCTAGGGAGGAGTTTTACAGAGAACAACGGAGACTTAAAGAGGAGTAAGTATTTGGCTCAATGAAGTTGTGTTGTTTTTCATTTTTGTGTTTCGATAGCTGCAGTTACACTAAAGTGCATCTGGCATAAGCCAAAATGACGTAGTGTTTTTTCCGATATACTTTTTCGTTGGAGATGGTAAACATTCAAAACTAAAACAAGACAAATGTAATTCTAAAACTTTCCCTAAAACTTGTAGGAATTCTAAAACTGTTTTTTGCTTAAATAGGATGTTCACCTTTTGCATTTGCATGCAGTATACATTTTCTCATATTGGCCATGTTTTGTTTCTTGATGTCTTTTTGTAATAAAGGTCAAACTATAATTGTAATAAAGGTCAAACTTATTTTAACAGGGAAAAGAAAAAGTCCAAACTTGATGAGTTTACAAATGATTTTGCTAAGGAATTGATGGAATATAAAAAGATTCAAAAGGAGCGTAGGCGTTCGTTTTCCAGGTAACTGCTTTACATGTCCGTAATGGAGAAGCAGATTGTCTAGAAGAATCAGGAGGAGTTCCACTCCACCTCTCTATCATTAGATGGATTGGATGATTCAAGGGATTAGCAGTGATAGGAGTTTCATATGTAGGTTACTAGCTCAAAAATGGCAGAGATTAGTTGCCTGATAGTTATAATTTGGCAGCAGATACTAAGGAACAGGCATCTCTTTTACTAAGTAAGCTTCCCTGTAATGACATCCTTCACCTCCTGACAGCCGTGAGGAGGCTAGAACCTGAGTAGGTGTAGTTGCTGGATTTTCTGCGTCTCCTGTTCTGATTGTAACCATTACCTCAAAGCAAGGAGATATGTGAGAGAAATTGTCTTCATTTCCTCTTTTAATTATCTCATGTGGAGAGATTTTATCCTGGACTGCAAACTGATGGCTTTCACTAGGATTTTGTTGACATTGTTAAATTTTTCTTAGGAATTAAAGGATCAGACTTGTTTGTAAGGAAATCTTAAATTGGTGAAGGACTTTGAGAGGAAGAGTGATTCTAATGAACGTATGCAGAATAATGTGAAATCATTTTTAAAATATAATGAAAGAAAAACTTGTGAAGAACAAACTCAGGGTAGCTGATGTTTTCTATCCCCAAAAATCACTTGGGCAGGAGTCTGGATAGCTCTCTTAGCAATGCTGTTAGTATCTTTCCTAGAGCAATGGCATTGAGTCGTATTTCCAGAGAGTATGTTTAGTAGCTTTTAGATAAAAAATTTCTTGCAATGTGGTCACTACCCTTGGTTAGAGCTAGAGGTATGTGCAGAATTTTGCTAGGACTTCTGGCTAGAAGTGTTGATTGAGCAGTACTGTGTGTAGGATTGCAGTACAAGCATTTTGCATCCTGTACAAATTGCCAAATAAGTAGTGAAGTTAAATAGACTAAGATGGCATTGGCGTTTTAAGTTGGCATAAATTGTGTTTTCTTGGTTTGATGCCATACTGTAGCCATTAGGACTTGCTCTCTTTGCATCTTACTGCAACAAAAATGATTTGCACTGCTCATGGTTGCTGAGTAGTGAAAAATGTGCACATTCACATACCAGTAGAGGACAGTATACACCACCCTAAATCAATCAATAGCTATTGTAGTTCATGTGATAGAAGTGAGTGGAAATAGACTTCCCCTTCCTGTGTGTTTTTACGCTAACAAAGCAGCAGCTGTTCTGTCTTGTAAACAGAAACTTTTACATGTTATCAAGTTCTTCAATTTGCAGTAGCATTATGTCAGCAGCTGAAAGAAGCTTTGACATAAGCATATGGAAGGGAGTAAAAAAAAAACCAAAAACAAACAAATTTGGGAGGAAAAAAACTGGGGAAAGTGACTGTTTTGAATTAACTTCATTTATTTTTTCGTGTTGTGTTTTTTTTAAGGTCCAAGTCCCCCTATAGTGCTTCATCTTACTCTAGAAGCTCGTATACCTACTCCAAGTCAAGATCAGGTTCTTCCCGCTCTCGCTCCTACTCTCGGTCATTTAGCCGTTCCCATTCCCGTTCCTACTCGCGATCGCCGCCGTATCAGAGAAGAGGCAAAGGGAAGAGTCGTAATTATCGTTCTAGATCAAGGTCACATGGTTATCACCGTTCAAGGTCAAGGTCACCCCCATACAGAAGGTACCATTCACGGTCAAGGTCTCCAGTATTTAGAGGCCAGTCTCCCACTAAACGGACAGTACCCCAAGGGGAAGGAGAAAGGGAGTATTTTAACAGATACAGAGAAGTTCCACCATACGATATTAAAGCTTACTATGGCAGATCAGTTGACTTTAGAGATCCATTTGAAAAAGAAAGATACAGAGAATGGGAAAGGAATTACAGAGAATGGTACGAAAAATTTTACAAGGGCTATGCTGTCGGCGCTCAACCTCGGCCTCCAGTAAATCGAGAGAACTTTTCTCCAGATAGGTTTTGTCCACCTGGGACCAGACGAGAGAATTCGCCGTATGCTCGGGGCCGTAGGGAGGATTATCCAGGTGGGCAGAGCCACAGAAATCGTAACCTAGCAGGAAACTACCCCGAAAAGCCTTCTGGAAGAGAGAGCCATGGCATTAAAGATCCTACAAAATCAAAAGAGAAGGAGGTGGAAAATCCGCTGGGAGATGGCAAGGGAAATAAGCATAAAAAACATCGGAAGAGAAGGAAAGGGGATGAGAATGAAGGATTTCCTAATGCTGAGTTGTTAGAAGGTGCAAGAAAACCAAGAGAGCCAGTTACAACAGAAGATGTTAAAACGGACTCTCTGTTCATGCTGCCAAGCAGAGATGATGCCACCCCTGTAAGAGATGAACCTATGGAAGCAGATTCTATTGCTTTCAAACCAGTGTCTGAAAAGGAGAAAAAAGAGAAGGATAAGCCAAAAGCAAAAGTTGACAAGACAAAGCGAAAAGTAGAAGCGGCTGTTCCTCCCAAGAAAGATAATGTAACAAAACCAGCTAAAGCTTCCCAAGAGAAGGGGGATGCAGATCGTGAAAAATCTCCTCGGACGGAACCTCCTGTGAAAAAAGTGAAGGAGGAGTTGCCCAAGACAGAGAGTGTTAAAACATCTTCCTCTCAAAAGGATGAGAAGGCTCTTGGTACCCCACGGAAAGTTCACCCAAAAGTGACGAAAGATCACCCAGAAACAAGACCAGCCAAGGATGAAAAGGCAAAGAAAGACCATCCAAAAGAAACCAAGTCGGAGAAGGCCTCCAACAAAGAGGACAAGTCAAAAAAACCTGCTGAAAAAAGCAAACCCTCTGATGCAAAACCTGAAAAAAGAAAAAGAAAAGCAGATGAAAAGGCTGATAAAGAACATGAAGCCACTTCTGTAAAGGCCTCGAAACCAGAACCTGCTGAATCGAAAACATCGCCAAAGGGGAAGACTGAGCCTGATGGTGAAAAAGGAGAGCGAACTCCAGAAAAGGATAAATCTGCTTTTCTTAACAACCCCGCAAAAAAGATTAAACTTAACCGGGAAACTGGCAAAAAGATTGTGAGTGGGGAAAATGTGCCACCTGCAAAAGAACCTGTTGAGAAACCTGAGCCAAGCAGCAGCAAAGTTAAACAAGAGAAAGCGAAGGGAAAAGTGAGAAGAAAAGTAACAGCAGCTGATGGATCTAGTTCAACTCTTGTAGATTACACCAGGTACCTCACAGTTTCTTTTCCTATTTTTAATTTCCTCCTCCTCCCGCCTCCTCCTCCAATTGTAAAATTATTTATGGTGACAAATGAAAGGAACAGCTAAATCCGTGCTAAATGAGTGAATAATCTGTGATCTTTCCTGTTAAACTGTGCTTGGGTGGAAATCAAATAAGCAAGCAATCTTCTGCACAGAAGAGTAATCAGGTTAATTCATTGGTGATGCCTTTCACCCTTGCTTCTGGGATGGTTTTTTCCCTCTTCTTATTCATTGCATACTGACTCTTTGAGGAGTCCCCTCTATGTCTTCCTTCAAACCCAGTTTACTGCTAAAGGCAAGGATAACAGGCATGTCTGTACCCTGCAATATTTTGCATTTTTAAAATTGTGATGATCTGCTTTTGATCTGCTTTCACATCAGTATGATGTGAAATTATACCTTGCAGAAATAGCAGCTTGGTTGCCCATATATTGTACTGATTTTTCTGTGAGTGCAGTCCCGTGTTGACAGAGCTGCGCTGCTTCCAGCTCAGCGCCAACTTTATTGGCACTTACCTTGGAGTTCTCTCTTCTGTATGCTATCGTGTGACATGTGAGGAAAAGAACCCAGTAATCTAGTGTGGGGCTGTGATTACTTACATTTCAGTGTCTAAAGAAGCAGAACAAAGCAAATTCAAAACATTTAAGATATCACTGGAGACTTAAGGTGGTCTCTTGATTTTGTAAAAAGTTTTTAAAACATACATTCTTCTAAAGAGCAACGCTGAGACATGAGGTTAAGACTTCAGTTGTGTTTACCTCCCCGTAATTGCTTGCTTACATATTGAAACAAGAATGTGTACCTAATTTATCTGCCATTGGTAGAAATAGGACATGAAGGAATTACCAGATCAGACAGTCCCCAATCTGATAATCTTGTGTCTTTGTTAATTAAATGTGTAGTAGCAAGATACCAAATTAATTGATTGCTCATAATCTTAGCTAGTGGACTCATCCTTTCTCTTGTCTGTTCCCTTAATTGAACATTTTTTGAAAAAATGCTGAAGATGTAAAATGGAAACAGAACACCATTTTAGAAAATGTTACAAAAGATGGTGGTGTATGTATCTCACCCGTTATTAACGTGCGCTGGTTTTTTTCTTAGCACTAGTTCTACTGGTGGAAGCCCCGTTAGAAAGACTGAAGAAAAGACAGATACAAAACGAACTGTCATTAAGACCATGGAGGAGTATAATAATGATATAACAGCCCCTGCTGAAGACGTCATTATTATGATCCAAGTCCCTCAGTCAAAGTGGGATAAAGATGACTTTGAGTCTGAAGAAGAGGACATTAAATCTACCCAGGTGCCCACAAGCATAGGAAAACCTGCAAGTGTTATAAAGAATGTGAGTGCTAAGCCACCAAACCCCATAAAACACATTGAAAAAGAGACGGAGCCTTTGGAGAAAACACAGAAAACTACAAAAGAGGTGAGTTATGAAAGCTCCCAGCATGATGCAAAAAGTTCAAAAAGTTCGATGTCAAATGAAAAAGGAAAAACCAAAGACCGGGATCATTCTTTGTCAGACAAGGACGCTTCCGAGAAGAGAAAGAGCAGTGTTCAGCCAGAAAAAGACCACTCGGAACGTGCAACTGAGCAAGGAAATGGAAAAAACATTTCTCAATCTTCCAAAGACAGCAGATCTTCAGAGAAACACGATACTGGCCGTGGCTCCACTGCTAAAGACTTTACTCCTAACCGAGACAAAAAATCTGACCACGATGGAAACAGAGATCACTCTAGTTCCAAGCGTAGAGATGAAAAGGGTGAATTAACGAGGAGAAAAGACTCCCCTTCTCGAAACAGAGAATCTACATCTGTCCAGAAGAGTAAACCCAGAGAGGAGCGAGCGGAGCCGTCCAAAAAGGGCGCTGGAGACGCCAAAAGGAGCAGCTACAGCCCTCCGCGGGAGCGGAAACAGACTGATCACAAAGCTGCTCATGAGTCCAAGCGAACGGTGGAGGAACACAAACCTCTAGATAAAAATTCAGGAAAAGAGAAAGAGAAGCATGTACCAGAAGTAAAGAGCAATAAGGAGAATAAAGAAAATAAAGAAAATAAGGAGAATAAAGAAAATAAGGAGAATAAGGAGAATAAAGAAAATAAAGAGAAAGAGCCAATTGTTAATAAACCACCTTTGAAACAAGAATCACCAGAAGTCAAAAATGAGAAAGAGAACAACGTGACTGGGCAAAACGATAAAAGTGTTGTCAAGCCCAAGGCTCAGGTGAGCACCTCCTCCCGGCTCTCCTCTGACCTCACGCGAGAGACTGACGAGGCTGCCTTTGTGCCAGACTACAACGAAAGCGACAGTGAGAGTAATGTATCTGCAAAAGATGAGGAAGCCGCAGCAAAAACTCCTAAAGAACCGAAAGAAAAGGCTGTTGAGAAGGTGAAGGAGGACGCGGCAGCCCCTGCGGCGGCAGAGCAGCCCGAAGCCAGCAGGAGTCAAAGCCAGAGCAGCCCCAGCGTGAGCCGCAGCCGCAGTCAGAGCCCTTCCGAGAGTCAGACTCGAAGCCACAGCAGCAGCGCCAGCTCGGGAGAGAGTCAAGACAGCAAGAAAAAGAAAAAGAAGAAGGAGAAGAAGAAGCACAAGAAGCATAAGAAACACAAGAAGCATAAGAAACACGTCGGGAACGAGACGGAATTGGAAAAGAGCCAAAAACACAAACACAAGAAGAAAAAATCGAAGAAGAGCAAAGATAAAGAGAAAGATGACCAAAAAGTGAAATCTGTCACTACATAGAACGACAGATAATAGAAAAATGACTTAATTCCTAAGTCATCTGTATTAAATTTTGTTAAAATGTAAACGAATTCAAGCGTTGTAAATAATGACATGAAAGACCCTGTGCTGCACTTAAAATATTGCTGCTTGATTATTTGATTTTTACATCAGAGCTTTATAAAAGTGAACATTTTGTACAGAATTGTGAGTTGTGACCATGTAACATGAAAGGTTTTGCTGGGGCATCTTCTTTTTAACCACCGTTAATTAGTTTGGGTGGAGTTTACTGTACTGTGAAAATTTTCACATTTGAATTTTTTTTTAATTGCCTGGCAGAAGAAGCTGGTATCAGTTATAAAATATCAGCAGAATGATTTGCAGAATACATTACAGCCCTGTTATGTCACTTTTTTGATTACAATAAAAAAAAGTTTTCAGTAAACTATCCAATGTGATGAGATTTCCAGTGAGAGCTGAACGTCAGCGGAGAAAAGGGGGGGGGGGGGGG